CGGGAGCCCCTCTCTCCACAGGAGCTGCGCGAGTGGTTTGCTCGCCGCTGGAGGCGTACTGCTGGAGCTGGAGCTTCTTCGACCGTCGAGGGTACTGGTGCCGCCGGTCCCGGAGGTGCTACGCCTGCGGGTCCTACTGGAGTTGGGGCTGCTGAGGGCGTTGGTGCTGAGTCTGCTGCTGTCTGTCCTGACGGTGGTTCTGCTGCTGGTGCTGCTGGAGGTCCTGCCGCTGGAGGTGTTGGTGGCGCTGGTGCTGCCGCTGAGGGTGCTGGTGCTGTCCCTGCTGAGTCTAGAGCTGCCGCGCGGCCTCGGCCGTACTTCGTTCCGCTTCTGCAGCAGGTTCTTGGTCTTTCTCCTCCGGTAGAGTGTCCACAGCCTGTCCAGTCGCAGTCACTGTTGGAGCCTACCTCCCCACTGCCTGCTCCCTCTCCTTACACTGGTCCTACTGGAGGTCTTGCTGAGCGTCGTGAGCCTGCGTCTCGTCCCGCGTCGCTTGTTCGTGCTGCCCGCGCTAGTGGTCGTGGTTCGCGTCCGCGTCCTCCTCCTGTCCCTGGCACGCACCGGATGTCTCTGCGTCCGTCCACTGCTCCTCTGCGTGCCCTTTTGCCTTCTCCTCCTGAGTCCTCCCTTCCTGTGCTTACCGACCCAGAGTCGGACTCCCTTCGTGCTGCCAGTCCTACTGTCACGCGTCTGCTTGCTACTGTCGTCACTGACCCCTCTTTTGAGTCCGCTGTTGCGTCTGCTCTTGTCGCTGAGCTCGTCGACTTTGCTGCTCGCTGTCGTCTAGACTACGCTGCTAGTCTTGTTGCTGAGTCTGCGTCTGTCTGTCCTCCGTCCGTCGGGGGTGAGTGTGCTCTTGGCACGGACGTCCTAGAGGACAGGCAGGAGGAGTTCCAGTGTCTGGCTGCTGCTTCACCTCATCTCGCGTCTGTACTGCTTGCTCCTGAGGGAGACCCGGATGCACTAGACATCCCGACTCCGCGCTCTTACGCGGAGGCCGTAGAGGGTCCCTACTCCTCTCAGTGGCAGGCAGCTATGGATGCAGAGATGGCTTCCTGGAAGTCCACAGGCACCTACGTTGACGCGGTTCCCCCTCCTGGGGCGAACATCGTCAGTGGCATGTGGATCTTCAGGGTGAAGCGGCCGCCGGGCTCTCCACCTGTCTTCAAGGCGCGGTACGTCGCTCGTGGCTTCAGTCAGCGGCAGGGAGTTGACTACTTTCAGACCTTCTCTCCCACCCCGAAGATGACCACTCTTCGGGTGCTGCTGCACATAGCCGCTCAGCGCGACTACGAGCTTCACTCTCTCGACTTCAGTACTGCGTTCTTGCAGGGGAGCCTGCACGAGGAGATCTGGTTGCGCCGTCCACCTGGCTTCACTGGGACTTTCCCTCCTGGCACCCAGTGAAGCCTCCGACGGCCAGTCTACGGTCTCCGCCAGGCACCACGTGAGTGGCACGACACACTGAGGACTACATTTGCGGCCCTTGGGTTTGCTCCTTCTACTGCTGACCCTTCGCTGTTTCTGCGCACCGACACTTCACTGCCGCCGTTCTACATCCTCGTGTACGTCGACGACTTGGTCTTTGCCACAGCGGACACTGCTGGACTCGCCTACGTGAAGTCCGAGCTGCTGAAGAGACACACGTGCACAGACATGGGTGAACTGCGCAGCTACCTTGGCTTGCAGATCACTCGGGACAGAGCACGCCGCACCATTACCTTGACTCAGTCACACATGGTGCAGCAGGTCCTTCAGCGCTTCGGCTTCACGTACTCCTCGCCTCAGGCCACTCCTCTGTCTACTCGCCACTCGCTCTCAGCTCTGCCTTCGGATGAGTCCGTAGAGTCGAGTGGCCCGTACCCAGAGCTTGTTGGCTGCCTCATGTACCTGATGACCTGCACACGACCTGACCTTGCATACCCTCTTAGCATTCTTGCACGCTATGTTGCTCCTGGGAGACACCGACCAGAGCACATGGCTGCAGCGAAGAGGGTATTGCGCTACCTGTGCAGTACGTCGGGCATGGGGCTAGTGCTTGGAGGGCGCAGTCCAGTGGTACTTACAGGTCACGCGGACGCTTCTTGGGCTGACGACCAGGCTACGCAGCGGTCGTCACAGGGTTACACCTTCAGCCTTGGCTCCGGCTCTGTCTCGTGGCGGGCTACTCGCTCGTCTTCGGTTCTAAGCTCGAGTTGTGAGGCTGAGATCTACGCAGGGGCCATGGCTGCACAGGAGCTTCGCTGGCTCACCTACCTGCTGACTGACCTTGGAGAGCCGCCTCGTTCTCCTCCAGTGCTGTACGTAGACAACAAGGCCATGCTGGCCTTGTGTCGAGAGCAGCGTCTGGAGCACAGAACGAAGCACATTGCTCTTCGCTACTTCCTTGCTCGTGAGCTACAGCAGCGTGGACAGTTGCGGCTTGCGTACGTGGCCTCTGAGGCCAACACTGCTGATGTGTTCACCAAGGCACTCGCGCCTTGTGACCATCAGCGCTTCTGCACCCAGCTGGGTCTTGTGCCTGTCTTGCCTCACTTGCTCTCCTCTTGACTTTACTTGTACTGTCACATATATATACCTGCTCTTGCTTGTCTAGCTTTATATATATATGTGTTTGTACTCCTGCATGTGAACTGGCCTTGTGGCCTTGCTCTTGTGCTCGGACTGTGTGGTGACTTTGTGATCCACCCTGAGCTTTGCTTTGCTTTGCTTGACTGGTCTTGTGACCCCTTGTTCTCCCCCACTTTGCCTATGGGGGTGTGTCAGAACATATATGTAGCTTATGCTGTTGTGTAGGCTACAGTGGGGTATACCATAGGGGGTACAACCCAATTAGGGTTTTGCTATTTGTACTCACTTCACTCATAGTTCATTCATTCTCGCTCTATTCTCCACAAGGACTACACTTGCGGCTCTTGGGTTTGCTCCTTCTACTGCCGACCCGTCGCTGTTTCTTCACAACCGAATCTTCGCTGCGTCCGACTCGAAGTAATTCGCGTTGAAGAAGACGTTCATCGTGAAGACCCACGATTGAACCGTCGGACCTCCACGCTGGCTCGGGTCGAAGCAGGGTGGGCGTTGCGGCTTGAGTGGCATTGGTGCCATAATGGCCTGTTCGCCACTTGTCGTCGCGAACTCCACGCGCCGACGGGCTTCGCGAGGCTCCCGCGGGCTTGGTGCGACCCTGTTTCCTCCCATGCCAGGCATCGGCTGGGCGGCGCCATCGCTGGCTGCGCCTGAGCGCTGTCCCACACTGTTGTTTTGTGTTGGTGTGCCGGACGAGATGACGATCGGCTCGTCTGATTGTGCAGATGCATTTGTCGGTGCGTGTGGTGGCACTGGAGTGTTCATTGTTGATTGCTGACGCGCGGAGTCACGTTCCGCCGTGAGCGTCGCAATTTCGAGCGCCGAATCTTCAAGTTGGCGCACCAGACGGTCGAGCTGCTCCAGCGTCAATGTGGCGAGCGTGAATTTGGCGATGGCGGGGGTGTCGGGCGAGCTCAGCGAGAGCCTCGGTCGTGGCCGTGCATGCTTACGAGAGAGCACTACGAGCGGTGGTGGTGTGTCGCTGAGAGACGTCTACCCCCCCCAAAAATTGAGATAGTGGGGAAGCGAATGTGTGGGTGCGGTCCGAGAGGAGATCGTAGGCTCTGAATACCAAGTGTTATGAGTGCAATTGAGTGAACGAACGAGAACTGCACTATCGAAGCAAGAGTACAATGAGCGAAGGCATTGTCGAAATATATTGTCATGTTTTATAACTGCTTGTAGTTGTAGTTAGTGTAGTTATTTAAACTGTTGTTGGTGGTGCACCTTATTTGGTTTCTATGCTATATGTACCCTTGAACCTATAGTGAAACCATCCCTTTTCACCAATTCCTCTCTCAACTCACTCGACACCTCGCCTAGGGCAAAACCCGCTCGATACCTAAGTACGGGCCTAGGCTACTAAGCCTAGGCCCTTCCTTTCAACTTAGCCTATTACTTTGACAGGCATGAGCGAAGAATATATAGCGAAACTACAGTGGTAACGGTAATGGACTGTGGTTGTCGCGCGACGGGCCTGGGACTGAGGTTGGGAAAAGTGTCGAAGCGGAGGCCCGGAGCGCGGGTTACCCGCGGAGCCGTGAGGTCGGGGTGTGATGTGCGAAGGTGGCGGGCGGATTGTCGATGCGAGGGTTGCGAGTGGTAACGGTGCTGACTGTGGTGCTACAGTGATGTACGCGTTGAGCAGGGATGCGAAGTAAGGAAAAGGAATTTTCCTTACAACGCCCAAAAATATCTCTACGCCATACCCAGACCCACCCTCATTTCATGAGTTTCACCAGCAAGATGTGTATGTGCTACACCTATGTTGTCTGCCCACACACAGCTTGGGCAGGGAGGGCAGCAATGCCAGCACAGCATCAGCCGAGCGAATCATTGCGGGTAAACTTGTGTGCCAAGCGAGTGCGCCGCGCAGAGGCGCAAATTTACAGGCGAGCATGGGGGAACCACGCAAGAACACGCTCAAGCTGACATGGAACCGCGGTGAATGGGAGAAGAGTTATCAGGCAAGAGTAACCGGTTTTACAGCACTCGAAATTTCGTCATTTCGTGACACGGCCTCCTCATTCTCGTAACAAGGGATTTTGTTTTCGTCTTTATTCGCATAACAACTATCATCACTCCTCATTACATCATCGAACCCTCACAGCAAGAGAGTCAAATTTCAGCCCCCAGCGACCTGCACACTTCAACACACGCACGCAACACAACACTGCCGAGCAACTACATTTTCACTGCCAAGCCAAACTTTTCCTTGCATTCACTCTACCTAGAGCTTTGCAGCATCAAATGCGGGTGAAACTAGACCACCATAATACAACCATTGTGAACAAGCAGTTTGAATGGCATCAAGCGGGATAACAACCGGGGCACCGGTTGTCGCAGGGAATTCTAACACCTCGTTAGAAGTTAGTGTCAACTCTTCAGCGAATACAGGAGAAATTTCAGTTACCATGGATAGACCCCCTGCCGCCTCGCTCGCGCAAGCAACCGCCGTTACAATAGCCATTCTTCCCCCTAAAGTCACGTCCTGTACCGTCACAAACCCGCTTGCTGCCGCGATTCCGGCGGCGCGCAGCGTAACCCAATCCACGTCACCGGAGAACAAGCACAAGCGCGCATTGGAGAGCGGGCCATTAGAGAGCACGCACAAGCGCACCAGTTCCGTCCGCTTCGCCGACGACCATGACGTGGAGCCGGGCGGAAGCGGAGATGCCGACGGGGGCGGGGAAAGCGGAGGCGGAGGCGGAGGCGGCGGCGGAGGAAGAGGCAGCAGAAGAGGCGGTGGTTCCAGGGAGGTTAGCGAACAAACTTCGGCGGATGACGTATCGTCCGATGGAATATCGCTCGAGTCGATGAGCCGCGCGGGGAGCCAGCGGGAGCGCGAGGAGTGGCAGCTAGACTACAGCCAGTTCGAGGCGGCGCGGCGCGACCTCGACGACGGCCATGGCCGGCTGCCGCGAATACTCAAGCGGCGTGAGTTGCGCTGCTGCGAGCTAACGCTTGCCCTCGGAGGTTCGGCGGTTGAACCCCCCCTGTTTTTTGTGTGTGTGTGTGTGTGCGTGCGTGCGTGCGTGTGTGTGTTTCTTTCTTTCTTTCTTTCTTTCTTTCTTTCTTTCTTCCATCCACCGGTTCGAGGCGATGCACACCTTTTTTCATTACTTTTGAGGCGCCTCAAAGCTAACGCTTGCCCTCGGAGGTTCAACGTTTGACCCTCCCCCCTTCCCCCCCCCCCTCCTTATTTTTTTTGTTGTTGTTGCTTTTTCATACACCGGTTCAATTCAAAGCGATGCACACCTTTTTTTTTTGCGCCTTAAGCGGAGCATTTATTCTAAAGGCGCCGCGGTCTGCTTCTCATGTCCGATAGAAGAGCATAAGAGTCACATCCATCCTCCTGAGTTTGCGATCATCATGGGGCTCATACTCGCATCTTCTTCCTCCCAACGCTTGCGCCACATCCTGTTCCTCTTCCCCGCGCTCGCGCGCTGCAGTGGCGGGGCGGAACCCCGTGGACGGATACTACCAGCAGCAGAACGAGATGATTGACGGATTCAGTGAGATGGACGCGCTCAGTGAGCAGCTGTTGCCGCCCACTCCCAGTGTATGTTCCACCTGCTCAGGGAGCCCTGCACCGCTGCGCACCGCTTTGCACTGGCTTCATTGTACCGTTTGATGCACTCAGCGTCGTTCAGTGACGGATTCAGTGAGTGAGATAGACACGCTCAGTGAGCAGGTGGTGCTTCCGCCTAGTTCCTGCGTAGGCTACATCACCTGCAATGACCAGCGCCTTGCACCGCTTCGCACCAGCTTGTTTACTCGTGTAGCGTGAGAAAGGATATAGAAAGGATATAGAAAGGATATAGAAAGGATGTAGAAAGGATATAGAAAGGATATAGAAAGGATGTAGAAAGGATTCTCTGGATATATTATGGTGGCGGCGGTTAGAATTTCCGGTTCTCTCCGTGTTTGTGCGTGTGCGCGCGCGCGCGCGCTCGAATCGAATCGTCGTGCTTGTTTCTCCTCTCCTCTCTGTTGGCGTTGGCAGGAGGTGAGGGAGGCGCGGCGGCAGCACCGGAACGAGTTCATGGCGGTGCAGATATCCAACGGCGCCAACGTGTGCCTCTTCATAGTGAAGATCATCGCGTCCATCGTCAGCGGCAGTCTCGCCATCCTGGCTTCCACGCTCGACTCGCTGTTGGACCTGCTGTGTGGGTTCATTCTCTGGTACACAGCTCGCACCATGCGCCGCACCAACCCCTACAAGTACCCCATTGGGAAACGGCGCATGCAGCCCCTTGTACGTTTTCCATGAGCACCGCACTGCACCGCACTGTCTTGGCCTGTCGTCCCTGTCTATGTTGCTGGACCTGCTGTGTGGGTTCATGCGCGCACCATGCGCCGCACCAACCCCTACAAGTACCCCATTGGGAAGAGGCGCATGCAACCATTGGTGAGTTTTCCATTAGCACCGCATGGTACCGCACTGAACCGCACTGGACCGCATTGGACCACATTGTACCGCACTGCACCGCATTGTGCTGCACTGCATCGCTGTTGGACCTGCTGTGTGGGTTCATCCTCTGGTACATGGCGCGCACCATGCGCCGCACCAACCCCTACAAGTACCCCATCGGGAAGCGCCGGATGCAACCCCTGGTACGCTTTCCATTTGGACCGCACTGGACCGCACTGGATCGTACTGGACCGCATTGTACCGCACTGCACCGCTTTGCACAGAGTTCCAATGCTGGCCGGTGAGAGTTCCAATGCAGCCGCTGCTGGTGAGAGTTTCAATGCAGCGCACTGCTGAGCTAATTTACTGTGAGTCGATTAAAGATGAGCCATGCATCAGAAGCTGATAATTGTCTAATCAAAAGCTGAGTATGAGTCGAGTCGAGTCGAGTCAAACACCAGTGACAATGACTCTCTCTGCCTCTTCCTGTATCAATGCTGCCATGCACCTGCCTACCCCTCCATGCCTTCCCCCCCCCCCCATGCCTCACAACTTACAGCGCAGCATAGACGTGTGTGCGTGCGTGCATCATGACCATCTCTCCTCCTCTCCGCTCCTCCATTCTCCTCACCTCCCGCAAACTATCCCCCCTGTTTTAATGCTGCCATGCGATCATCCCTCCCTCCTCTCTCTCAACCTTCCCCCTCCCCCCCGCCAACCCCAACACCCACCAACACACCCCCCCCCCCCCCCAACCCAACCCCCTCTCCCCCTCCCCCACCCCCCCACAGGGCATCATAGTGTTTGCATGCATGATGGCGTCTCTCGGATTCCAGTTCTTTCTAGAAGGAGTCCGCAAGCTCATCCTTTCCACTCCTCCATTTCAGAGCCTTTCCTCCACTCCTTGTACCCAATGCTGCCATGCGCCCATCCCTCCCCCCTCTCCCCGTACCAACAGGGCATCATAGTGTTTGCGTGCATCATGGCATCTCTTGGATTCCAGATCCTTCTAGAAGGAGTCCGCAAGCTCACAGACTCGGTGAGTTGCATCTCAGACTCGGTGTGTCGCAGGTTTGGTGAGTCGCAGGCTTGGTGAGTCGCAGGCTTGGTGAGTCGCAGGCTTGGTGAGTCGCAGGCTTGGTGGAGTTGCAGGCTTGGTGGGTGCAGCAGGGTCGGTGAGTTGCGACTTGGTGGTTTATTACTGGCTAGGTGATTCACATGATTGGCATGCTTAGTGAGTGGTGGGTGTATGTGTATGTGTGGTTTGCATCGACCATGCATGTTTCCATGGGGAGCTATAACCCATGTTTCCAATACTATGACCAACCACCACCCCATTCCCCATCAGAACCACTCGACGGACCTAGGGGAGAAGTGGCAAGTGTATGTGGGCATCATGGGGTTGGTCATTCTCACCAAGTTCATCCTCTTCCTCTACTGCCGCCTCTTCTCCGATGATATCGTTCAGGCCTATGCCCTCGTAAGCTGCATGTTCCACTTTCATTGTTGTATGTTTTAGGCGCCTCAGTAAACGCAACAAATGGCTCGAAAATGAAAAAAAAAAAAAAAAAAAAAAAAAAAAATCACGAAGAAGAAATGCTCGATTTTGCTCTCACGACTTTTATGTACTGCCTCACGTGTTCTTATCTTTCCAATGACACACTTCTTTCTCTCCTGAGATTTTTTGGAATCTGCTCTTTTTAGCTCCATGCCACGTGCTGTTTCTGAAGACTGCCCGTTGTCGTATCGAGTTTTGGTTTGAGTTGCTTGTGTCCAGGTCCTTGTGCTGCAGCAGGGCTGGCATGGCATGAGTCACTTTTTCATGTGCCTCAATTGTCGTTCAGTGCTCCACATACCCCATACTCTTCACACACCACTCTCCATCCCCCCCATCCCATGCACCCACCAGGATCACATGATGGATGTGGTAACCAACACCGTGGGCCTCGCTGCAGCAGCAGCAGCAGCAGCAGCAGCAGCAGCAGCAGCAGCAGCAGCAGCAGCAGCAGCAGCAGCAGCAGCAGCAGCAGGGGGCTTCTTAACACCTTTACCCCCCATCCCACACCCCACCCACCCACCAGGATCACATGATGGATGTGGTAACCAACACCGTGGGCCTCGCTGCAGCAGTGCTGGCAGGGGAGTACGCGTGGTGGATCGACCCCGTCGGTGCCATCTTTGTGAGTCTCGCTCTCTTACTCGTATCGTATCGTATCTCCACTAATCATTGCTTTTGCGGCGCCTCAAATGTCGCCTCGCTGCAGCAGTGCTGGCAGGGGAGTACGCGTGGTGGATCGACCCCGTCGGTGCCATCTTCGTATGTCCCTCCCTCCCTCCCACTCTCCTCTACTCCCCCGTACCTCTACCAACTGCTCCTCGTCTTTCCTCATGTAGTTGACCCTTCATTTCTTGGCTCCAATACTTTCTGCTCGGCTCTCTACTCTTGTCTTCCACAGCTCATGTCTGCTCGGGCCTCGAGATTTGCTGGGTGAACCCCCTGCCTGCCTTTCCGTGTGTGCCTGCCTGCCTTATCACACAGCCCCTGCCTGCCTTATCACACAGCCCCTGCCTGCCTTATCACACAGCCCCTGCCTGCCTTTCCCCCCCTCCCCCTGCTCCAATGCAGCTCGCCTGTTACACACATTTCAACTGGCGCAAGTGCTGGAGAACGTGCGCTCCTTGACTGTTAAAAGTAAACTCAAAGCCAGTTCATTACGCCTCCCCCTTCCCACCCCTCTCCCCCCCTCCTCTCCTTTCCTTTCCCACAATGCAGCTCGCCCTGTACACCATGTTCAACTGGGGCAACACCGTGCTCTCCTTGACTCTTCAGCTGGCCCCCCACAATACAGCTCTCCTTGACTCTCGAGTCGACTTAAATGTCACCCACCCCTCATCTACCCCTCATTCCTCCCCATCTCCGCCCATCGCTTCCCCTTCCCTCCTCCCCCCAATGCAGCTCGCCCTGTACACCATGTTCAACTGGGGCAACACCGTGCGCGAGAATGTGCGCTCTTTGACTGTTGAGTCGACTCAAATGTCACTCACCCCGCATCTCCCCCTTCCACCACCCGCTCCCCCCGCCCTTCTCCCTGCCACCCACCAGCTCGCCCTGTATACCATGTTCAATTGGGGCAACACAGTGCGCGAGAACGTGCGCTCTTTAACCGGACGGACAGCGCCGCCCGCGTTCCTGCAGAAGCTGACGTACCTGTGCTGGAACCACCACCGGGCAATCCTGGCCATTGATACAGTGCGGGCGTATACGTTTGGCGCGTCCTATTTCACTGAAGTGGATGTTGTGTTGCCAGAAGATATGCCGCTCAAGGTACACCACTGATTTTATTTTGCAATGCTGCTTAAGGAGGTACTGCTATTAATGTTTTCATGCCTCTCGTTGTTCCCAAATCTCCTTCCGCAGTTTATACCCCGAATGTTGATAGTGTGTGTCTGGGCACATCTCCCTCTATTTTTCTCCCCGATGCCACATACTGGATTGACTCCCATTTTCCGGTTTCCCCAGGAGGCACATGATATTGGCGAGGCGCTTCAGAATAAGCTGGAGCGGTTGCCGGAGATTGAGAGAGCATTTGTTCACTTGGATTACGAGGTGTCGCATCGGCCTGAGCATCACCACCACCTCTCCACGTTCAATGTCAGCAACGGACCATCTCCCACTAGCTTCTCAAGCGACCCAAGATCTCCATGACACAGCTCACTTGCTGCAAACTCGATCTCTATAGATTTAGTAAATGTTTTCCACAAGGCAGCAAATAGCCTTGTTGCTTTTTTTTACATATGGTTTGTTTGGTTAATGCGTTTTTCTTGTAAATGTGTTTCTGATTGAAATAAATCATATGTCAAACATAACCAGAAGTGGAGCCGTGGGCAGCAATTGTTGACAGCTCATAGTAAGGGCCATATATTAGGATTTACGCATGGGTGTTACGGGTGCAATGAATCGAGGTAGCGAGGATTGCACTAAGTGTCAATGGATACAAAATGTGAGCGAAGGCATGAGCGAACATTTATACGCGAAACATGCAAAACGGTAACGCGGTGCGTGCGAGCCAGCTAGTGCTTGTTGAAATGAACGAACAGGAATGATTGAACTAACAGTGAAATCAGTACAAGTACCTAACCCTAGAATTGTGTACCCCCTATAGGCTAACCCACTGTAGCCTAAACAAGCTCAACATATATAATGTTTGACACACCCCCATAGGCGAAGTGGGGGAGAACTAGGGGTCACAAGACCAGTCAAGTAAAGCAAAAGAAAGCAAGCTCAGGGTGGATCACAAAGTCACCACACATTCCGAGCACAAGTTCAAGGCCACAAGGCCAGTTCACATGCAGGAGTACATATATATAAGGCTAGACAAGCAAGAGCAGGTATATATATATGTAATAGTACAAGCAAGGTCAAGAGGTGAGCAAGTGAGGCAAGACAGGTACAAGACCCAGCTGGGTGCAGAAGCGCTGATGATCACAAGGCGCAAGTGCCTTGGTGAAGACATCAGCAGTGTTGGCCTCAGAGGCCACGTACGCAAGCCGCAACTGACCACGCTGCTGTAGCTCACGAGCAAGGAAGTAGCGGAGAGCAATGTGCTTTGTTCTGTGCTCCAGTCTCTGCTCTCGACACAAGGCCAGCATGGCCTTGTTGTCTACGTACAGGACTGGAGGAGAACGAGGCGGCTCTCCAAGGTCGGTCAGCAGGTAGGTGAGCCAGCGAAGCTCCTGAGCAGCCATGGCCCCTGCGTAGATCTCAGCCTCACAACTGGAGCCGAGAAAAGAAGACGAGCAATTAGCCCACCACGAAACAGAGCCGGAACCAAGGCTGAAGGTGTAACCCTGTGACGACCGCTGCGTAGCCTGGTCGTCAGCCCAAGAAGCGTCTGCGTGACCAGTGAGGACCACTGGACTCCGCCCTCCAAGCACTAGCCCCATGCCCGACGTACTGCACAAGTAGCGCAACACCCTCTTCGCTGCAGCCATGTGCTCTGGTTGGTGTCTCCCACGAGCAACATAGCGTGCGAGAATGCTAAGAGGGTATGCAAGGTCAGGTCGTGTGCAGGTCATCAGGTACATGAGGCAGCCAACAAGCTCTGGGTACGGGCCACTCGACTCTACGGACTCATCCGAAGGCAGAGCTAAGAGCGAGTGGCGAGTAGGCAGAGGAGTGGTCTGAGGCGAGGAGTACGTGAAGCCGAAGCGCTGAAGGACCTGCTGCACCATGTGTTACTGAATCAGGGTGATGGTGCGGCGTGCTCTGTCCCGGGTGATCTGCAAGCCAAGGTAGCTGCGCAGTTCACCCAGCTCTGTGCACGTGTGTCTCTTCTGCAGCTCGGACTTCACGTAGGCGAGTCCAGCAGTGTCAGCAGTGGCAAAGACCAAGTCGTCGACGTACACGAGGATGTAGAACGGCGGCAGAGAAGTGTCGGTGCGTAGAAACAGCGAAGGGTCGGCAGTAGAGGGAGCAAACCCAAGAGCCGCAAGTGTAGTCCTCAGTGTGTCGTGCTACTCACGCGGTGCCTGGCGGAGACCGTAGACTGGCCGCCGGAGGCTCCACTGGGTGCCAGGAGGAAAAGTCCCAGTGAAGCCAAGTGGGCGGCGCAGCCAGATCTCCTCGTGCAGGCTGCCCTGCAGGAAGGCAGTGCTGAAGTCAAGAGAGTGTAGCTCGTAGTCACGGTGAGCAGCAACGTGTAGGAGTACCCGAAGAGTGGTCATCTTCGGGGTGGGAGAGAAGGTATGAAAGTAGTCAACTCCCTGCCGCTGACTGAAGCCACGAGCCACGTAACGCGCCTTGAAGACAAGCGGAGAACCCGGCGGCCGCTTCACCCTGAAAATCCACATGCCACTGACGATGTTCGCCCAAGGAGGGGGGATAGCGTCAACGTAGGTGCCTGTGGACTTCCAGGAAGCCATCTCTGCATCCATAGCTGCCTGCCACTGAGAAGAGTAGGGACCCTCTATCGCCTCCGCGTAAGAGCGCGGAGTCGGGATGTCAAGTGCATCCGGGTCTCCCTCACGGGTAAGCAGTACGGACACGAGATGAGGTGAAGCAGCTGCCAAGCACTGGAACTCCTCCTGCCTGTCCTCAAGGACGTCCGTGCCAAGGGCACACTCACCCCCGACGGACGGAGGACAGACAGACTCAGACTCAGCGACAAGACTAGCAGCGTAGTCTAGACGACAGCGAGTAGCAAAGTCGACGAGCTCAGCAACTAAGGCAGACGCAGCAGCGGACTCAAAAGAAGGGTCAGTGACGACAGTAGCAAGGACACGCGTGACAGTAGGACTGGCAGCACGAAGAGAGTCCGACTCCGGGTCGGGAAGAGCAGGAAGAGAGGACTCAGGAGGAGAAGGCAAAGGGGCACGCAGAGGAGCAGTGGACGGACGCAGAGACATCCGCTGCGTGCCAGGGACAGGAGGAGGACGCTAACGCGAACCGCAACCACTAGTGCGAGCAGTACGGACAGGCGACGCAGGGCGAGACGCAGGCTCACGACGCTCAGCAAGACCTCCAGTACGACCAGTGTAGGGAGAAGGGGCAGGCAGTGGGGAGGCAGGTGGAAACTGGAACCGTCACGGGACAGGCTGTGGACACTCTAAGGGAGGAGGAGGACCGAGAGAAGGCGGGAGACCAAGAACCTGCTCAAGGAGCGGAACGAAGTACGGCCGCTGCCGTGCAGCGACTCCAGAACCAGCAGAGACACCAGCGCTAGGGTCCTCCGCACCAGCAGCAGCTCCAACGCCCGACTCCACAGCACCAGCAGCAGCACCAGCTCCAGGGTCCTCAGCACCAGCAGCATCTCCAACGCCCGGGTCATCAGTACCAGCAGCAGCTCCAACGCCCGGGTCCTCAGTACCAGCAGCAGCTCCAACGCCCGGGTCCTCACTACCAGCAGCAGCACCAGCGCCCGGGTCCTCAGCTCTAGCAGCAGCACCAGCACTAGGGTCCGCAGCACCTGCCGTAGCTCCAACACCCGGGTCCGCAGCACCAGAAACAGCACCAACCTCTGGGGCCGCAGCACCAGCAGAACCAGTAGAGTCTCCAGCACCAGTAGCACCACCAGCAGCAGCGGGGTCCGCGACACCAGGCGCGCCACTCCGAAGTGTGCAGCGCCGCTCGTACCACTCACGGATCCGCTCACGGGAGGGGAGCTCCCGGCTAGGAGGAGAAACACTAGCACCAGACCCAGTAGTACGCCTGGCTCTATAGGTACCTCTCTTGAGGCTGCAGTACTGGAAGTATCACTCACGCAGCTGCTCCGAGGAGAGGGCTCCGCCAGGTGTAGAACCCTCAGGCTCAGGACCTCCAGACTCAGGACTCTGCGGCTCAACACCCCCAGGCTCAGTACTCCCAGGCTCAACACCCCCAGGTTTAGTACTCCCAGGCTCAGCACCCCCAGGCTCCGCACCCTAAGGCTCAGCACCCCTAGACTCCGCACCCCCAGGCTCCGCACCCCCAGGCCCCGCACCCCCAGGCTCCGCACCCCCAAGCTCCGCACCCCCAGGCTCAGTACCCCCAGGCTCCGCACCCCCAGGCTCAGCACCCCCACGCTCTGCACCCACAGCAGGACGAGAGTCGATAGCTACCTCAACAGGCTCAACCGGGTCTACCTGAGACACACCTGAGGGAGCGGCACCCTGAGTGGGGAGGGGGTCTACGACAGCAGCACCTGGCGCGAGGAAGAGAGGCGGGGGAGGGAGCGGGGCAGTGCGGTAGGGGAAGAGGCGGTAGTAGGGGACGGACTCGTCAAAAGTGACGTCCTGAGAGGGCAAGACTCGGCGCGAGGTGGCGTGGTAAAACTGCCAACCAGGCGCGTCCGGGACAAAGCCGAGGAAGACGCAAGGAACAGCACGGGAGGAGAGCTTGTCCGCAGACGTATCGTGGACAAAAGCTCGAGATCCCCAGACCCGGAAACGCGACGCATCGCCAACCTCCCCCGTCCACAGCAGTGTGGGCGAGGTCTCCGGCAAGGAGACACGGGGCCAGAGGTTGAGCTGATGCGCAGCGTACCGGACCGCAAACGGCCACAGAAAGTGGGGGGCAGCCGCATGGATCAAGGAGGTACGGGCGACCTCCATGACCAGGCCAATGCGGCGCTCCGCAACCCCATTCTGCTGTGGAGAGGTTGGAAGCGTGAACGAGTGCTCAATGCCGTGCTCAGCACAGTAGGCTGCCAAGAGGTCGGAGGAGAACTCACCACCTGTGTCAGAGTGCAAGCGCAGGACAGGAAAGTCCGAGTGGAAACGCTCGCTGAGCTGGAGACGGGCTCTGCGGATCCAAGGGATCAAGACATCAGGGACCTCACCCTTGGTGCGCAAGGGGAAGACCGTGGTGTAGCGCGAGTAGTCGTCAACAACTATCAGGAAGTACCTCTCCTGACCCTGACCACGGACGCGGGCTGGGCCCCACACGTCCATGTGGAGCGTCTGCAAGGGAGCAGTCGTCAAGGGAAACGAGGAGGAGTGAGGAGCGGCGCGCTGCCACCCCTCGACGCAGGGAAGACAAGGAGGAGCAGGCGAGGGTGGGAGGGGAGGGAGGACTCTGGGAAGACCGGAGACAAGGTACCGGGAGTGCATGGCACGAAGGCGCTGCACAGACGGGTGGCCAAGTCGGTGGTGCCAGAGGACAGTCTCGTGCGCCAGAGAGCGACACAAGCAGGGGGCAGACAGCTGACCTGATGCGGACGCACACGCAGA